TAGGCTGCAACCATGTGACGAGTTCTGGCCAATGGGAAGTGAGAAGAGTGATGTGTGTCACTTCCAGGCCTGGCCATAAAACTCCCAGTGTGGTTCCCTATTCTCTCTTTCCCTTTAGAAGCAAGCTAAGACCTTGCAATATGTGTGCAGCCTGGATCCCAGAGTCACTACTCGGAAGAGCTGCCCAACGCTCAGTGGAATTTGGTGAGAGAGAAATAAGTCTTAACTGTTATATTAAACCACTGAGATGTCGGGGGTTATTTGTTAATACAACATAGCTGATCCTATCCTGACTGACTTACTCCAAAAATATTTTTTTGCAGGTTGCAATTATTTTCATAAGCCCTCAAAAAGCAGATCTCCCTAGGTGCTATGGCTTTGGGGTGAAGGAACTGCCAAATGGAGGTGGGTAGCAGGGCTCGCTTTGGGGAGACAGGGTAAACGGATGTAGGAGGGTATAGAACGGAGGGGTAGACAACAAATCCAGGACTCACGGCAAAGTGTGGGATCGCAGGCTGCAAGAGAAAAGAGCTCAGGTGAGTTAAATTGGGATGACAATTTAAGAATTTAATTGGGAAGGGAGAGGGAGGAAGAGGTGAGTGTGGGAAAGGAGAGATGAAGAAGGAGTTTGGGAGATGAAGTGGAGCAAGAGATCAATGGGCAAGGGGAGAGAGGGGCTTGGTGGAGACACATGCTGCACCTTTTAATTCATATGATCTTAAAACTTTCTTGAGTTCCTTGACCACGTTTGCCCTAAGAGTCACCAGCTCTTCCAGCAGAGGCTCATCTGAGGAGAGAAAGATTCTTGTGGGATGGGAGGCACCCAGCAAGCCCACCCCCATCTATAGCTTCCAGGAGAAGGGATGAGGAAGCTCCTCTTCATTAACCAGAAATAACGAAGACCGGGCATTACTTAGGGTCCCCTGGGCAAATCTATGGCCTAGGAGATCCTGCCTCTAGCTTCTGATTGACTGTGGGGCCCCAGGCTAAACCACCGTCCCTTGGCCTCAGTTTCCTCATGCGGTAAGTGGATTTGGACTTGACTACCTGTTTTCTCCTCTTTTTTTCTGTCTACACTCACTCCTTCATGATTCCAGTCCAACGTCATGGCTTTATCTACTATCTAGACTTGCCCTGTCTGATATGGTAGCCACTAGCCACACATGGAACACTTGAAATGGGCTAGTCTGAATTGAGGTGTGCTGTAGTATAAACTGTACACAGGATTTCAAGGACATAGTACAAAAAACTATAAATTGTCTTAATTTTTATGTCAATTGCACATTGAAATGGTAATATTTTAGATGTTGTGTTAATAAGATATATTATTAATTTCACCTGTTTCCGTTTACCTCTTTTTAAAAAACTGTGGCTACTAGAAAATGTTAAACGAGGTGGCTCCTACCTGTGGCTCACATCCTATTTCTATTGGATAGTGCTGTTGTATACACTGATGCCTCCCACATTTATATCGCTAGCCTAGACCACTCACTGATGTCCGGATTCGTATATCCAACTATCAACTCAAGATCTCCACTTGGATGTCTTGCAGGCATCTCCAACTCATTAAGTCCCAAACTAAACCCTTGGTAGTCTCCTCCAAACCAACTCCCAATCCCCCAGTCTATTTCATCCTGGTAAATGCCACGATTTTATTTTCTTGGGTCAAAATCCTTGGTGCTATCTTTGACCCCTTTCTTTTTCTCATATCTCACATGCAATCTGTCAGCATGCTTGACACCAAATCCTGTCTGCTCAATATTCAAAATATCCATCCCTTCGCTCTTAATGCTAGGACTTCATCTTTCACGGAAATAATCTCTCCCTCTCACTCCACTCTAGCCTTCCTGGTCTTGATGTCCTGTGAATATGCCAAACATCATCCCGTCTCAGGGACTGTGCTAGCTCGTCTTTCTGCCTTCAACCTTCCACTCCCAGACGCCCTCATGGCTTCCTCCCTCTTCCCTTCATGTTGCTGCCTTTTCAGCGACATCTTTCTTGGCTGCCCTACTTTAAGCTGTAACCCACATCCCTACTCCCAGTATTCCCTAGCCCCTGGTCCCTGCTTAATTTTTCTCCGTAGCATTTCCCCCATTTGACATATTAAATTGTGCAGATTAACTGAGCAGATCTGGGTTGTCCAAACCCTGCACATTCCAAAAACGTTTGGCTCTTGCCTGGTTCCTAGAAGGTAATGTCTAGGTCCTTGGAATATCCTGCCTCTTAAGAGTGTCTTGGTTTACCTGGGAGCCTTGGGCCACACCAAACAGTCTATTCTAGCAGTATGATTTATGGTGGGATCCTTGGGCCATGCAGTAGCAGCTTGACCTCTGGAGGGGCTGGAGACTGAGTAATTAAAGTCAGCTCTGCCTACGTGACTGACCCCCAGTAAGAACCCTGGACACTAAGGCTCAGGTGAGCTTCCCTGGTTGGCAATACTCTGCGCATATTGTCACACTCCATTGCTGGGAGAATTAAGC